TGCTATCGGGATCACAGAATCCAAGGCGATTTACTGTTGTGAACTATAACGTAGTGTATGCCTGAAGGTTTACAAACTAGTGCGCGTAATTTTCGTTGAATTTAGGTAGATGTATGATACATCCAATAGTTCGTTCAGCTTGGAGAGGACGTGCTCTTTCTATGAAGCTTTTTGTTTTAGTAAACATGGTTGAAGCTTTAGTTCCAAAATTAGATCCAGATCCAAAAGGGTCCCTTTTGGGGCAATTTCTGGTCCATAGTTTTGATGTTACAGAAATTGAAGAGACAATATGAGAACAAAATGAAGTAGGTCTCTGATAGAATAATAATTCTTCAACATAATAATGTTTAATGGCAAAACATAATTTGCGGCAACATGGTTCTTTAAGCGTTTGACAACCAGGATGTGTCATGTCTAGTTAGTTAAATACCTTATCTCGTTATCACAACAATGTTTCTATGATTAGTTAGTATTTTTTCTGCCAAACGCAGTGCGACATGTACAAAGCTACTTAAATATAATCTCCAAATGTTAATTATCAAAGCAATTATATACGAAAATTTATTATCGTATTGTAAGCTACTTTCCGTTTTAGCGTCGACTCTTCGTTAAAGCTGCATTCTGATTGGTCGATGCGCCGTAAAATTCCCAGAGCCGGTTGTTATTCAGCAGATTATTTTCAGTGTGGATGTGGATTGTGGAAACGTTCCCCGTCAGCATACCTAAAACGAAGGATTTTTCCAATTAGGCCTGCGTGCCTTCGTCAAAATATATTGACGGGGTACTACCGTTTTTTTTCCAATTTTAATGGTTATTGGTATGACCGGCTCATTCCGTGAACACATAGGCATTTAATTGTCTTCAATTAATTAACGTGGGATTCACGTAACTGTATGAACGTACACGTTTACGCCTGCAGAAATTTGTATCGTGATATCTACACTTTGCCGCAAATTTTGGATTGTCATCTACGGCAGGTCTGGTTGATGAAACAAGAAAAAATGCTCTATATACGTTTTTAGTATGTACAGTGCACAGGCGATATGTTCAAATAGCAATCAACACTAAGCTGTCAAAAAAAGTGTGAAATCCTTTACAGATATGTGGCACAGAATAGCTTAAGACCTGCTGGACAGTGGACCAACTGTATCGCAACGATGACTGTGGTAAACATGCCAAACAAGTTGCTGATGTTCCTCTTATTTATACATGTTTTCACAGCTTTTTGAGGCTGCGAATTTTTTTACTGCTCCATATAACTTTTTTCAGATTTAATATTTTGTTAATCGCTAGGTTTTGAAAATTTGCCTTTATTCAAAGACAAAGAGCGATTTGTTTCGTTGATATAGTTGTAGTCACTGTTCTTAGCGGTTACGTCATCAACGCCATATGAAATAAGTTAACAAATCGAGTCTCCGTACTATGGGCGGAGACTAATCTTAAGCGCATCTGCTACTCTCTCTAGTACACATGAAGTGGGTAACAGGGGACCGCTGTTTTCATTTTCTTCCTGGATTCTAATAAATTAAGCACGAGCTGTCTGCCTTCTCCATTGATCGTATTTCCGGGCATTGTACAATTTTATATCGAAGATTGGTAACAGGGCAACTCAAATTACACGCCGATGTCATTGTCATTCTGACAAATATAATAAATTGAAGGGCATTCATTCGTCATGACCAAGTTTTCGACACGGAGACACAACTAAAAAACGTACGTCTTTGAGCTTACTAGACAAACGTCCACACACAAAGGTAGTTTGCTTGTGTATGTATGAGGGAGATGGAGATATGTATATAAATGGATACTGGTAGTCTTACTTTGACCCGACAAGAACGGTGACTACAATTATATCAACATTATATTACCGAAAAATAAGTGCAACTTCGTTAATCACGGACAAAAAGTTTTTAGAATACTTCAAGGTTATTCAAAAGACATCATAAGAGTACCTCAGTAGAGGTGTTTTTGAAATAAGTCAGCGAATGGTCTCTTGACCTTGAATTCATTATTTAAGTTATACGTTAAGCTTATCTAAAGAAGCTGGCGCAGTGGTGTGGTCGGTGCTGTGTATCTACTAACCAGTTGCCGTGAGCTGCGCGGGTTCGAATCCCATCCCAAAATAATTTTTCTCTTGGTTATCGATGCTGCCATTATAAATAAGTGGTAGACGCTCCGAGACCGTTATGCGTGGAGGTACCACTCGCCGGATATCTAAGGTGATGCCAGAAAAGACGTCAATGGGCCAGAATGTGTCTATGCCACATGCGCACGTGTAACGTCCTCCTTCCCCTTACCCCTATAGCCCCACGGTACTCACAGGCATTTAGGCCTTAGAGCTGCGTCGTGATTCAAGTATAAAAAATGATATGGTTAAATATAAAACAAAAGATCACCATCTCGAAATCTACTCAATAACTGGTATCAACTTTCTACAAACTTACTTCGGTTAACTGTTAGATTCGTTATGGATAAATATCAGATATATTCTTTTAAAATTCGTGATGTTAAGAAGGAAAAGGAAGGGACAATTTTTAGAAAACGAGAGTGAATAAAACGATGTACTTGAAAATATACTGGTGAGAATAGATTACCAATGTTTATTTAATCTATGACAAAAATAAATTTCTTCAATTCCATTGTCATTGTCCACTGCATTTCTTCCATCTCTTGTTTCAATATCATTAGGAATGTCATATTTTCGCATCAGATATTTAAATATGTAATGTATGTACAGTTTGAGACAAGCACAGTAAACCATCTCCAGAAATTTGACTGATATATTTTCTCACCTATTTGATGATACGTTGTCATGTTGTTGAATAAATACCAGTCACATTCAAGGGAGGATTATATTTAATTGGTGACAATAATCGCATTTACAATATCAAGATTTTATTAAATAGTGATTTATCTCCTGTACGTACAGATCACAATAAAATGTATTACTAACATAAATAACACTTGTTAGTAACAATAACATGGCATTTACGACCTCATCCAACAATGTGATTAGCATGAACTAAGTGCTTGTAATAATTACTACGTGGTTAATTTTTTATCATAAGAATGAACTTTTAAGATATGCTCATATTGCATGTTCTATAGTAACTAATGTATATTGTAGATATTATATGATGTAATTTTTAGTGTCAGACATGTAATCATTAATAATGTTAGCTTGTTACGAGTAATTTACAATCCAATTCATATGAATTTAGTTTTTTTTAGCTTCATATGAATGATGGGTTCTCGAACTCTACCGATTACACAACAAATGAAAATAAAGACAAATCAATTCCACAATTTTCAGTCCCTTAAACCGCCTATTAGTTTTCTCTCTTTCAATACTCCAAACAAATTATAGGACAAAAGCGACAACATGGAAAAATAAAACCAAGCTTTTTAGAATTTCTTTATATAAAAGTTGAGTAGCTTTTTATTAAACTACTGAGATCAATCCGACGTCAGTCAAAAATTTATAAAAGAGGTATTTTAAATTAAATATTGATCGTTGAAATTACTTATATAAACTTAACACTCTTTAGCATTAAATTGATACATTCTTTATGTGAATGATGACATCGGTTTGGTCGTATTAGGGCGGTTATCAGTGGCAATGCAACTTTTGTATAAAACAATTTTTGTAAAAATGCTCATTTACAAACATAGCACCATTAACCATCATTGATCGCGGGCAATTTTCTGTTCGTATTTTAGTGTAGCTGAATTAACATATTTTTCCATTTGAGTGTTGAACTTGTAAACTATTTCTTGTGAATATCCATATGGTTAGGTTAAACAATGCCTATCTGTACATTTTAGGCTACAAAAAATATTTTCTATAAATTGATATGCCTTTTGACCATGTGCTCTTTCACATGCTTGATATTTTTTCTTTGGAGGACCACTGTCTGTATGCCTGCTAAGACACTGACCCAGTTCAGCTAATGATCCACAGATGGCACCATAATCGTTCCTTGTTTGGGGACTGAAACGTTTTTCTGCTTTTCAGAGATTTTATAGCTTTTGAATTACGGCTTGAAGGATTTTACGAGTGCAGGAATATACTGTCTAGTAGGCTCGTGAGGAACTCTGCGAAACTGTGTAATAAAAACATCGCATTGGGTTATATTACCGGAAAAACGTCGAGAAGCAAAAATTCTGTTTACTTAAATGCTGTGGTTTTCATGCTTATTGATACGCATATTAAAGTAGATTAATTGCTAAATAGCACATGATTTTTACGGCTACGTGTATAATAAAGAAAAATAAGTACATTTCAACCGAATAGGCTTATGAATTCATGATGTTATTAGTGTATACTTGTCGCTTATTCAGCGTAATTGATAAGTGAAATGATCACATTCGCTATATTTTTTATAGTATATATGGAACAAATGCATTTCTCGTAATTCTATCCGATTTACTTTGTTTTTGCTTTTAATAAAACTTTATTAAATTGTTGTTGTACTGATGAACTCGTTGATATTAGAGGAATATCTTATCAGCACATTAGGACAAACTTTAAAAGAGGCAAGATAACATTTTTCAAAACCTGTGATAGCTATTCTGGTATTTTTATAACTTTTCTCCTGCGGTGCTTTTTCAAAGCATCTTTACATAGTGAATATCAACATTATATTTTTTTAAATACTTGTCCTTTTTGACATTAGGTTGTTGCTGTGAAAATGGCACTGAATGGGTAAATAAATAATCTTTCTCATTGAATACATAAAATTTATTTTGTCAAATGCGGGGAATTAACTGTTTTTTATTTCCTCCTGCATATCATCTTTCGTTGAACTTTGCGAAATTGGAAAAGAAAGTCTTCTATTTATGAGTGTTTTATATCGGACTTTTTCATATCAACCTGATTTTATTTTTGCTCTAACAATCAACACTTTTCTGTCAAAATGTATTTTTTTGTGCCACGTATTAATTTGACTTTTTTTTTGAAATAGTACTAGTAATCCCGTAGTTTTAAAGCAAGCATTATTCTGTTCAATATTTATTAGAGTAATGAACCATCAACAAAGTAACATTTTTTTTTCACAAATACATAATATGTACAGTACGGTAAATATTACAAGAAGTGTGTTTTATGGAATTATTACAATAGGAAATAATAGATGCAGCCCAGAAGATGGTCCCGTCGAAATGTGGCCTCCTGTTACGTATACTGAAGGTATACCGGACAGAAAACACTCAGGATACATTCAGTATACGTACAGGGGGTTTACATTCAAGCAGCCCCGATGTCGAAACGTCAGCGTTCCAGAGTACTCCAGCCATGTCCAGAATGAGTAAGTTCTAGCCTGTGAAGGAAAAGAAACATTTGTTAAGTGATTTGCAGATTAAAAACATAAATATAATTTATTCTCTGATCAAAAATGAATAAATTGGATCCATTCAATTACAACACGGAATAGTATGATCTTTTACAAAGGTACACGCTCATGCTAATGTAAAAAAGGATACCGAATAACTTATTAAATGTTGCTATTTGTCTTTTGATGCAAGTCATTAAATTTCACCTTTATCATTATTGGAATCAGTTATGGTGCAGGCATATTGAGCAAGGAAGCGAATCGTGTCTTGCGACAAAGCAATCAACAATTCTCAACAATGAAGTCAGAAAGAGACAGCCGTATGTCAAGCATTGTCGGGTGACATTTCCATGCGAGAGGCGTCGCTTTCCCTCGATAATACAAAAATATTTGTAGTAGCCAAAAGATGCTAGTCAAAGAATAATATAAATTGACCGGACTATTCAAATTCAAATCAAATGTTTTTGTAAAGTACTTTTTTAAGGTACATATTATGACTTGGAAGAAACCATAATTTAACTGCACTATTAGGGAAATTGGGATGAATTTGAAAAATAGAGATGCGGTTGCTAGTTTGTTGTAGTTGTGTTAAATGTCAACTGTTAAAAATACTTGTTGGATGATCCTAGTATACCGTTCTCCTTCCTGTATCTCATTCTTCCCTCGGGTCTCCAAGGTATATCTGAAAAATAAAAAAATAAATAAATTTAGAATTGTAATGGGAAAGGAATGTTCGTAGGTGCGGCCATAACATGAAAAATTCAAGTAAAAAGAAACCGAAGTCGCATTCTCGAAGGGCTGATTCACCTCGAAACAACGGCACTAAAGGGAGGTTTTTTCGCACCCTAATCCACACTGATGCCATATCTTATGTTCAGGTTATACCGTCAACCCGCCACAAAAAAGGGGAAGGATTTTGTTTGTTGCAGAGGTATATTTTACCAGTATTATTTAATGTGGGGACAGTGGCCGATTTGTTTCCAAGCGTCTCGCTTGTCAGGTAAGGAGGAATAATTACTTTTCCATATTAATGCTTAAAAGTTTAGTTGGTTAATCGAAAAGAAATGAAGATGTTTCCTTTTTGTCAGATACCTATTGATATACAAACATTTTTTTGACAGTCTTCATGCAACTCATTTTTGAGATCTGGCAACAATGGTCAGGCGCCGGGTGTAGTCGTAAGGGACTATAAATTTTATACCTCGGTTACCAATAGCAATATAGATTTAAAGGGGTGCGAATCTCTCTGGGGTAGTGCCTTGCATCAAATGAGTTCAAGGATATGCACCGAAAAACGTCTAGTCGGTTTGGGTTCTGATTTTTTTTTTGTTTTGGATTATAATCAATGAAAAATGTTGCTATTCATTAGGCTAGATAGGGATATGTATTACGAATGATCTTGGAGGTGACAGTTGTTTGACAGTTGACATACTGGATGACGTAGTAAACACGAATATTAGACGCTATAATTGCTGATTTATGTGGAAAACTGTGATTTTCAAAAATTTCCAGAAAAAACTACGCCTGTCTAAATGTAAATATTTTGTATTTGTGTATACCTAACCAAAATAAACACACATTTAAACGTAAAGAATTACAAAACAGAATCAAAACACAAAATGTTAGAAATTTAAAAACGATATACTCGTAAATACATTCACGTAAAGGAAGGATTCAATTATTTGCCATGCATGGTTATTGGCTATTTGAAAAATTTTGCGAAAAAATCTACAAAGTAAAAAATAATTTGGTATAAACAAGTGACTAAAATGTTTCAAGGCAAGGACCTGTTAAGAAATCTTAATTAAGTATACTCTAAGTAGAAATTATAAACTGACAAAAGACAATAATTACATATTGAAAATCATTTGTGAACAGGGCCAAAAACTACTTTGAATATGGAATAAGAATTATTCTTAAGGTGCATGAATTTGATAACAAAGTATGAAGAGATGTTATATAGAAAAATGTACAGGAATTACAATTTGTCATCCGTCATCAGAAATTATTATCTGATGGTTCTTCCAGAGTTATCTATCCTTAAACATATTTCATTACCCATAACCTCAATGTACAACATATAAACACCCGACAATCGCGTACGCAACATACAGTGAATAAAAACATTATGACAAATAAACAACTACAAAAGAAAACAAATGAACTTACCGGCAAGCAGGTCGTTGACAGGCCGACGATGACTGTGGCTGGTGCGCCGCTTTTGGCTGTGGATAGTGCGCCGCTCTCTAGCCGACTGTCTTCGTTAAGGTGCAAGAGCGGAATGCCTGACTGTGTCTGACGGACGGACGTCGGAGGGCGGACGCCGGTGCCGTCGAGACGCGTGCGTCGCGGCGCCTTCGTATCCCGGTGGTGGGGGGTGAGGGTTGGGTGTGGTTGCGATCGGTGCTCATCGGCGAAGGGGAGGCTATGCTGGCCCTGCAAGAGGAGCAGGGGGTTGAACTGATGCTGGCGAGCGGCGGGCGAGTGCTGTATACAGGGTGATGCGATTATTGATGATTATGTTAAAATTGTTAGTTTACCCATTCAGATGATTTCGTTGTGCAACAAGGCGAAATAGTGTACAGTGGATACGTGGTAATCCGACACTATTGATTGTACATAAAAATTTCCGCAAATCTTCACTAATGCCTGGTTTAACAAATTGTAACTTGTGTCGCATATATGTGCATACGTAGTAATGTCTTCACAAGCCCAAAAGCGAAAGCACAAAACACTGACAATTAAAGAAAAAAGTAACATTTTGGATCGTTTAAATCGTAATCCCTCAGCAGTTTAGCAAGTGAATACGGTGTAGGTAGATCTACAATTTATAATATTAAAAAGGGCCATGAGAAGATTAAGACCTTCGTATCAACTACTACTGACTGTGAGCCAAGCTAAAGACAGTCACTCAAGAAAGCTGAACATCCAATGGTGGAAGTTTCTTCCGGAATGAAACAGGCACGCGACTATTTCTGGACCCATGTTGGCCACGAGAGCCAAGCTTTTTACAAGGAAATAATAAACAAATATGACCTTGTGGCTAGCAGGCTAAACGCTCCACAAGTCATCATGGTATACGTTCCTACAACGAATTTTTATGAGAAGACTAACTGAGGACAAAAATCTGATCTCGCGCTCTAACAACTTAAAACAAAAATAATAATGAATATTTTAATGCTTTATAAATTGATTCATTAGTTTCTGATTATTCGTAATATCCTGTGAATTACTTCTGTTTTTAGTACCTACTCATGTACATTTGTTTTAACATAATTATTTCCTAACGTAAATAACTTTAGATATTATTTTTTGTAATTTCTATAGCACCAATGTGGTTATTTTTATAACAAAAAATATTATTAGCTCTCCATTGTGATGTTTAGATTACTAAATTCCACATACATATTATTCATATACATTAGGATGTAGTATGATTCGTAGTTGAAATATGTAGATCCTTTGATTTGTAATTTGTCGGATTACAAGGTACTCTTATTCAAAAATTTCCAGACGATAGAGGGTCTTACTTTATCATGCGACAAATTCGACAATCTGACATCGCCCTGCAAAATGTTTTTCTGTTTACCGCAGGTCCATTGTATTGTACAAGTTCCTGAAAAGCAATGATGTCTTTTAGGATTTCATCTTAAACACACTCTTTTAATTACTGACGATATTTTTACCTCTTTCTATCATTCTGATTGGTTAAACAAAGGATTAAACTGATATTTTATGTTTCAATGAAGTAATCGCTTTTCACCAAAAAAGATAGAAGAGGCATTCTGCAAAGAGGCTTCATATTTTTTTCTACTACCAGGTTTCTTATAATCCACACTGGATGAGAATCCATTCTGCCCAGCCTCACATAATTAATGATTCAACATCGAGTTATGAGGACTAATATAAAGACCTCGTTGGACCAAAGGGCCATAATTTCGGCAGATCGTTTTTGCTTCGCTAATGCCAAAATTAAAAAGTCTTATTTTTTGTTCTTAAAGTTATGAACTGTATGACAAACTTTAGAAGCTTTAATTTTAATATCTTAAATAATAACTTATGATTTTGACGGAAGATACAAAAATTGTATTCCTGGTCGTTTACAATTTTAATTTTAATAAACTTTATAAAATCTGTCCTGTCCGTAGATCGTGATCCTGCTTCTGCCACGTGGGTTACGATTCCATCAGATGTCAGAAAATTAACTCTTTTTCTTTGACGTTGACCGTTAAACATGATGTGTATGATCACATTCTATCGACATTGGAAATGAAAATGATATCCTATTAGTCGATTCCTATTTATAGGAGTCCTTTCCAAAACACAAGCAAAAAATAAGGGTAATATGGATCATTCTGGGAAAATACATATACGCTTGATGAAAACAATCAATTCCAGTTATTAAAAATGCAATAGTCGTAAATAATTGAATTGTTACCTCGCCTCTACGATATGGTTTCTGGGCATGATTTCGATTATTACTCCATCTCCACGATCCTGTTAGCCCAGCAAGGAACTTCCTGCTGCTTTTATTGTCCGCTGCTCTATGCATGTTTCTCTATTTATGGAGGAGGATAGCTGGATAGAATAGCCGCTCGACGTGATTATATCAGGGCGGGGTCAATATTCATGCGACGGTGCCAGATTTCCATTTCTTCTCATATTTTAACACTTTCTGTGCCTAAAAAATTTAAATCATGATACTTTAATGAAACTGAATACATTTTAAATTTATTGATTTAGGCCCGTATCGTCAGTCGTCCCTACAATTATAGGGCGCCTTTATGGCCTCCTTGATTGTCATAGTTTTCTACTTCTCCGTGTCAGCGCTCTATTTTGAGGTTATGTCACAAACACCTATTTGCATCAAATTGTGCTTGCTTTTGAGTTATATCATGTTTTATCAACCTGAAATTTCCTACAATTTAAAAAGAAAACATATCTTCACAATAGGAGAGCGCTGACGCTGACACGGGACAAGTGTAATCTAGAAATTTTTGAAGGAGAGAAAGGAGTATGACAATCAAGGAGGCCATAAACGCGCCCTACAATTGTAGGAACGACTGACGATGCGGACCTTAAGGAGTTGTTTATTGTACTTGAGATTTCATATGGTATACATGCAACAGGTGTTATTCTAAAAATGTTGCTTTATTAAAAAAAAAATCGCAAAAATATATTATTTTTTTTGGATGTTATAGGACATGTACATTACAAAAAAAACTCACTCATTTTTGTCAGTCTGTCTGTCTATCGGTCTGTCTGCCTATCGGTCTTCCTCTCAGTCGTTTTGTTCGCGAATTCTTGGCCCATCTATAACTTGGAAAGGACATTCCGGATTTGAATGAAATTTTCACAAATGGTCTCTACTGTCAAGGACGAAAAAGCCTTGGTTTTTGAAAATTGGTCCAGTGACGGCGGGGCTAGGGTTAAAACCACGAAAATAAAAATCGCTCAAACTTCGTTTTTTGACGTTTCAGTGGTTGCTGATCATTTTCAGACAAACAATTGTAGAGGTTAAAAATTGGGGGTGTAATGACTGTGCGAGAGTATATATTTCAATTTTTTGATGTTAGTATACTTATACCACAGCCGACGTCAACTACGAGCCGTGAACAAAGAAATCTGGCAACGTAGGTGGTAGTGTTACTCCCGCCGCTCAAAATGCTGAGAAAACATAACCTTTTCAATTTGTGATTTTGGAATCGCAGAGGCTGTAATTAAGAGATAAGCTTGTTTTCTAAGCTTCAAAGTGTGTGTATGTGTTCAAAGTGATCGGTGACTATAATATATGAGAAATAGACTCCAGTTGTAGTGCTTCTGTGCTTTGAAAATAAACTAAGAAGTGTGACTGTGGCTGTTCGCGCCTCAGGACGCTAAGGATTTCAATTATTGAAAACGTGCAAATTCTGGTTGTATTTTTCAAATTTCAAATAAAAATAACATGGCTAAAACTGTTTTAGCCTTCATGCATTTAGAAACATAACAGAAATTATCAAATTACTAACAGTTTCAAATCTAACAGGTGATGAAACGACACCTTTGGTTGAACATGTGATAAATTTAGTTCAAAAATGTGGATTTGAAGTTATTTGTGTTGTTACTGATAATCACCGAATTAATAGAGCAATGTTCAGGAAATTAGCAAAGGATTCATCAGAAAATTATTCTATTCCAAATCCACATAATCCTGATAAGAACATATATTTAACTTATGATGTTGTGCATATTTTCAAGAGTATCAGAAATAATTAGATTAATTTAAAAAACCTAGACAAAACTTTTGTATATCCTAATTTTGACAATAATGATATTATTCAGTATGCTAAATTTGAAAACATTCGTGCTGTATATCAATTGGAAAAAGAAGCTGTAGTTAAGAAAACATAAATTAAATTATAAAACATTGCATCCAAATTCATTTGAAAGGCAAAATGTAAATAATAGATAATTTATTCCATCACTCAACAATAGCTGCTATGAAAGAATTAAAGTTTAATGATGCTGCACACTTTTTGGAAATAATCAGGAATTGGTGGGATATTGTCAGTAATACAAGTGTAATAAAAGGAGAATTGAAGCGAAACGAATTTTGTAAGCCTATTACCAATAAATATGATTATAGAGTACAATTTTTAAAAAAATTCCTGATATGGTTAGAAAAATGGCATAATCTAGAGAATAATAATGGACACCTGACACCAGAAATGTATACAGCTCTATATCAAAGCACGCTGACTCTACTTAATATAATTGAATATTCATTTAATCAATTTGACATTGAGTATCTATTGCCTGGAAAATTCACCACTGATAATTTAGAAAAACGATTTGGCAATTATAGACTTTTATGTGGCTGCAATTACAATGTGTCATATGATGAAATTTTAAATGCTGAAAAGAAAATACGGCTGAAGCATATTTTCAATGAAAATAAATCGTCATTTTCTTTAGCAGAAATTAAAACAAGGTTCCAAAACTGCTTAGAAACTCAAGAAAATTTTGATTTCTTGGATACCAAACAAAATCCTGAAGTTTTGGATATATTCAATGAAGTATTTGAGACAAATTACTTAGCCAATTGTGACATAGAGGATAGTACTAAGACTTATATATCTGGATATGCTTCACACGCTATCTCTAAAAACCTAAACTGGGAGATAAGCAAATCGCTAATAGTTAAAGAAAAAGGTTCATTAACAACAAATATTTATTTTGATCATTTGCAAAGAGGAGGACTGTCAATTCCAACCAGTTATGTACCAATCATCTTCTACCATATGTATGCCATTTTTGAATCTATTATTAGTGTAGATAGATTGGAAATTTTCTTCTTGAAAAGCAATAATCAAAAATTTATTTTGTGTCAGTTAACCTTGCGCAGCATTCAGTCTGACTTTATATACAGTGAATTTTCTTTAACTTGCATCTGTGGC